CATATTGTATTTAGCATCCAGTGATCATGCTCTGCCCTCATGTCACCCACTTAGGTGTTATTTTACTTTGTCACACATTCAGTTTTCATTTTCCAGCACACTCAGCCTAGCATACAGCAGTGAGTCAGGGCACTGTCATCCTCAGCTGATCCTGCGGTTTGAATTAACCACCGATATGTGGACACCGCTCACTTCTCTTCACCGATACATTTATTTGTGACTATATGTGTACTGAGAGGCAGGGAGATGAGTAGTGAAATGACTGGGGACGTCTGTGACAGGACTATATTTATTATCTCATGGTCTCAGGAGTTGCACCAGCATGTACAAAAAAGAATACCAAATGACAGAACAAAACATCGGTTTAACATGAAAGGAAAGTAGTGGTGTAATTTTTAACAGAGTGATACACCGCCTCTATGACATATAAATACACTGACAAATCGATTCGCTTTGCAGCGCTCGTTTAGACTAAAGAACGGGCACGGAGAAAGGTCTCTCTGGTCCTGTGCATTTTATAACTTGGGAAACCGATACTTTTTCATGGATTTACGCATACACACGTATGAACGTCATGAGCGCGCATGCTTCCAAAGCACCGTTCTTCTGGAGAGCAAATCTGATACCCCCATAAGCTACGTATAATGTGTAGCAAATGGGCGCAACATATTTTTCTGAATCCGGTTCCGGCGTGCCGACGACACCGATGCCCGTGCCCACAGACTGATCACAGGGCTTTTACCCGAACAGCACTGAATGGTAGCAGCTGAAAGAGGGGTGCGGAGCGAGGGTTGCCAAACCCGGAGGATTTCTCACGGCTCACGGACTAGAATGCTCTTTTGTATGTATCATTATAAACGGATGACACCCTCCAAACAAACCTATACTGAAAACTTTCAGCTCTACATTTGATGCGGGGGTGTTATTGAGGTATTTTGACCAGGTCCAAGAACAGATATCAATGCAGGTGCAAACTGTGGGCTAACGTTACTGAAATGACTTGCATGGGGCTGACGCGTTTTATTGTGCCATGCCAGCCCTGTACTGTCAGACGCTATTTTACTCTGCGTTATCCCGGTGTCTGGAATTCCAACATACTAGGCCTGTTGTATAATTAGAAGTTCGCAAGGCAGTAGCAAACAAGCTGGTGCAATGGGAAGCTACGCTGTCCAATACATTGTGCGCAATTTGTTCTGAAGCTTATGGGTCCTGTGTACTCAAGCTCCCGGCTTCCACTTGGAGAGGTGTGCTGCGGGGTTACAGCGCACTGGCTGTCGGCTTCACATCTGGCCCGCCTGGCTACTGTCATCTGCGGCCTGTTAGGACTGTGTACTCCCTGAACTTGTATGCTTAAGGGGAACTGACTGTGATTGCCTCGCGTGGTGTCGTGTTAGCGATTATTGGTGATCTACAGGAACACCCTAGATTAAACCTGGACTGGCTCACTACTCAAGAAAAAAAGCCTATCTTGCTATGGATTTTGCGTAGTGAAGTCACGCATTTTTAAAGGCACCGCTAGGGTGACATTGCAGTCTTCTCAGCACATTAGATATTTCGTCGTCCGACAAAAAAAGAGTGAAAGTGGAGTATTGTCCGTCATACGTATCAACGCAGTGGGATTTCTACGTCTGGTCGGCGTCTCCCCCCACCCTTCCCGCGGTGACGGTTATGGGTCGGAAGCGGTGTGTCGGTGCAGATTGTTCCAAGATGGCGGCCGGGTGCTGCGGGGTGAAGAAGCAGAAACTGTCATGATCACCAAAGGGACCCGGGGGTAACTTTAGCGGCAGCAGTAGTAGTAGTGGTAGCAGCGGCACGAACGCTCTGTCCCCAGCCCCGGCCGGTTACACTTCATCCGGCCTCTCCCCAAATCTCAGCCCGGGACCTGGTTCGGGGAGTGGAGGCAGAAAAATGGTCGTCTCAGCGGAGATGTGCTGCTTCTGCTTTGACGTGCTTTATTGCCATCTGTACGGATACCAACCTCCGAGAACACCCAGGTTTACAAATGATCCCTAGTGAGTATCTAGTCTTTTGTTGTTTTGTTGCATGTCAAAGCTCATTGGTGTGCTCTGAACAAATGTCTGTTGCGGCACACTTGACGGGTTTGCCTCTGTATTGTGCTCAAGTTTTAAGGGCACAAACTGTCACATCGAAACAACTGTTTGCTTAAAAGAAATTTAACGCGAAAAGCTCACGATCATAGGTATATTTGGACAAACTGGAATTCGGGCCTTGTCGTAGATACTGTCTGTACCGGCCTGCAGCTCCACTAGCTTAACATTAACCCAACAGTGAATGTTTTGATATGATGTTATAAAGTTTCCCATCACTGAATGATGTACCACGTCACCTTTACATTTCCTGGTGGTACTTGTCTTAAACACTTGCGATACTGTTTGTCCAACTCTAGTAATACAGGCTAATGTTGGCTAAGCCTGTTAGCTTCCAGCTAATATCAGCTAACCACTAGATGCCACTTGGAAGAGAAGATGGTCCAAGCAAGACTGTTTATATTTTCAATTAAACAGTATCAGTTTTGATGGTTAGGACGTACAGTGTTAAAGTGCTGAATACAAACAACAAAATATAACATGACTGATATTCTTAAGCTTTTAAGTTGCTCTCAGTTGTCCCTGGATTGCCACATACTTACATAGTTTTAGCTTATTTAGCTATCACTACGGGCTACTTTAAGTTAGCTTAGTAACAGCACTGGTCTTTTAATTAATTTGATAGCAGATGTAGTAGAATCCTCCGATGGAACGAACACCTGTCATTCCATATTATCGTTACTTGTTCGTTTTACGGCAGGTTTTATGTGGTAAATGGAACTGTACTATCTGATTAAGTGAAAGTTAACTGAGTTTAGCATAAGCCAACAAAGAAAGGGCGGTTTTTGCTAAGGAATGTTATTTAGCAGGCCTAACTAGCCATTATGACCACATTTAACTAAAGCAATGACAGTGTTATTAATGTATCAAACAGTGTTTAACCATTTGGAGCATTTGCTGAATGTGAGATTCTGTGTCATGGCAGGCTAATCATAAGATCAAGGGATGTATTTATTTATATAACGTTATTTCCTGTGCCATCCACTGAGACATTTTAAAATGCTTGTAAAAAGTTAAGGTAAGGTGACAGCATGTGACTTGGTGACATTTTTCATATATTCTGAGGCTGTAAGGGAGGTGTTACAATTGCAGCCATAGCTGGCTATCCATTGTATTCATCCTGTGCCATCCACTGAGACATTTTAAAATGCTTGTAAAAAGTTAAGGTAAGGTGACAGCATGTGACTTGGTGACATTTTTCATATATTCTGAGGCTGTAAGGGAGGTGTTACAATTGCAGCCATAGCTGGCTATCCATTGTATTCATCCTGTGCCATCCACTGAGACATTTTAAAATGCTTGTAAAAAGTTAAGGTAAGGTGACAGCATGTGACTTGGTGACATTTTTCATATATTCTGAGGCTGTAAGGGAGGTGTTACAATTGCAGCCATAGCTGGCTATCCATTGTATTAATCTGAAATAGGTTAAGACACTTTGGAGTGGTTTATTGACCAGGGCCAAGTTTAAATGCTTTAAAATGCTACAATACAGAATAATGGAAAGATAATCAGACTTTTTTGAGTCTTCATAGTGTATTCTCACAATCTCACCCCAGCATCTCTATCTAGAAACAACCTCAGAATCACCTCAGTAAACTTCAGGCAAAAGGCATGTTCTCATATGAGAACACAGGAAAATTTACAGTGGTGTGGTGAACTAAATAACTGATTGACAGGCCCCAGACTTAAGTTGCACACACAGTGAATTGAGTCTTGTCCTAAAAAACTTGACTCAACTCAAGATTTGTGATTCGTGAACAGTCTTTTTTTTTTTTTACTCTCTTTTTTACATGTTAACATTAAAGAAATGCCTGTTGAGCTGAATGTAATTCCTGGTCCTATTATCATGGGCAACTCTACACATGCATGGCACGTGCTGCCACAGATGACTAAGCTGCAGCAACAACACGTTGACTACGACGAGCACATCTGCAGCTGCTCTTTCATTTTATAAGGCACCTCAAAATGCAACAGACAGGTGAAGTCAGTCACTTGGTAATGTGAAAGGCAAATTAACATTGGTGCCTGTGGACCCTTAGCAAACATGTTAGCTCATTATCACCTATCTAACATTAGCTTGTTATTAGCTTTGTAGCCAAGGATGCTAAATTATTAGACTGGTGTTTCTTGAATGTTCTGAAAAGATGAGTGAAAGTCTGTTCGTTTGCCATACTTGTTCACATAAAGTGCAGGTTTGCCATGACTATAGAAATAACTGGGTAATCACCCATATTCCTCTGCCACCAGCTTCTGGCTAATGTTAAACTGAGCAAAAGACCACATTAATTATTAACATGCGCTACAGGTTTACTGTTTTTCATGTAATGTTATGGGCTTATTAGATTACCATTACACTTGGTTTGAGAAGCTAGAGTAATGAGTAAATTTACAATAGATTATAGGATATTGTTAGTTGGAGAGCCAGGGTAATAACACAGTGGGTTGTACTCTTAACTTCTATTGAAAAATAGGTTACAGTTTTGGAATGGAATGATGATAAAGCAGTATATGCATTGACTTCCTTGGCTATAGCAGTGTTCCTTGGATATAGCAGTGTTCTAAGTAGTCTGGATGGCACGCAGCAGATGATAAGTTGCTTGTTACAACCATAAGGGACTTGAGACTTGACTTGGACTTGCAATAAAATGACGTGTGAGCATCTCTGACAGCAAGTCCTCTAGACGCATGCACACTGAAACTGACAAGAACACTTTCCATCCATCCATCTTCTTCCGCTTATCCAGAACCGGGTCGCAGGGACAGCAGTCTAAGCAGAGATGCCCCTTAAGACCTCCTTATGAATAAATTAAAACCAAGGACTGTGATGTCATTCGGTATGGCGCAACCAGGGCCCCACCCTGGAGCCAGGCCCGGGGACAGGGCTCGAATGCAAGCGCCTGGTGGCCGGGCCTCTTTGCCCGACCGGGCTTTGCTCGAACGAGCGGTGTGGGGACATCCTCTCGTGGGTTCACCACCTGCAGGAGGATCCGTAAGAGGCTGGTGCATAGTGGATTGGGCAGCAGTCGAAGGCGAGAACACTTTCCCAGTTCTTTCAAAAAGTATTCCCTCATCAGACTAGCCTGGCAAAACAGATTAGTAATTCTATTAATAACAATAAATAAATAAAATTAGTTAATCCCCAAAATTACAGTTATTGCAGATAAAGTGTCTTAGTTGGTGTGTTAATTTAAAATTATTGTATGAGCCTCTGATTCCAAGGCCCAATCCAAATGTCCACGCTAAGCATTAAACCTTCATTAACAGCAGCTGGCATCACCTGTTATCAGGCTAGGTGCTGAAAGTGTGTGAAGCCTTCAAATGCCTAATTAGGAATAGGGCAGCTTATTTCTTTGTTAAATCAAATCCCATGTTACCGGGGCAAAGATATTTCTGTGACTTTACTAGTCAAGTGTTAGTCTTCTATGTTATATGTAGTTTAACCAATTTGTTTTTTTGCTGAGTCTAATACAATAACAACTTAGTTTTTTCATATTGTTTTTATAGTTTTTCACATAGCGCTCCTGTGTGTCTCCCCTACCCCTTTGCAGTAGATACCAATCTACTGACATTAAATTACCCTCTGCCTTGTTCAGCTGGAAAAGTCACCAATTCAAAAGCCAAATTACTGACCTGAGCATGCAATATTTAAACTGCCAAGTTCCTTCAGAAAATTAAACCCCATTTGAAGTGATACAGAATGTCTATTCTGAAGGGTTAACACTGGTTTGCAAAGTTTGACATACAATGCAGGGCTTCAGACTGTGACCATTTTCCACATTTTGTTGTCATTTTTTGTGGACACTGATTCTAAAATTTAGAAACTGGAAACTTTGGTCTTGAAATTGTGCCCTTTATTGTAGTGCTATATAGCTATCAATTGTAAATCATCTCGAATCTAGAGAAGCTGTAGCTTGCATATTGTAGGCATTTAGTAAAAACAAGTCTCTACTTTCAAATGGAGATTCACATGCTGTGACTCACTATATGATTTGAAGAACATCATATGTGTACAGTGTAAATTTTTAAATCTTTTGCTTCATTTTGGCTGCAAAAAGACCAAGGGACCGCTACACTAGTGGGTGAGCAATGGTGCAGGTATGTTAGCATTACTAGTCAGCTAATTTAGCTAGCTAACATTAGTTGGCGTGAATGGTGGTTTATTACTGAAATTTGTGTAATGTTATTTTAGATATATATTGTAAGCTGCTTTAAATTTTTTTAAGCTATTGTAAACTAAAGCGTAATTGAAATGTAAGATTAGCACTCAAAAGTAATAAGCTAGATAACATATTAGTTTGTTAAATGTACTTATACATTTTGCTACCGAAGTTGCGAACACTAGGAATCTTTTCTAAAGAATCTTTCTAAACTTTGCCCCGTTGATCCCATGTTGACAACAGGAGACACCAGCCTTTTGTCACTTGAAGAGAAGAAGAAAATGATCCAGGAAAGGTAACATGAAGCCACAGAACCATTAGCATGTAATGTTTAAATGAACTTCTCGGTACACCCTTGATAAGAAAATTTTGTTTTTCACTGAACTACAGGCACCTGTTTGCTGTAGGTGTTATGTTTTGTTTCTTTGCAATTAACATTTTTGTTTTTAATTATTGCTACTTAATTAAATCCGATTGGCAAGTCTTTGGTTTTGCATTTGTATCAATGTATGTGAAGAATCTTCTTCTTCTTTCGGCTGTTCCCGTTAGGGGTCGCCACAGCGAATCATCTGTTTCCACCTCTATCCTCGGCATCCTCTACTCTCACCCCAGTTAACTTCATGTCCTCTTTTAGCTCATCCATATATCTCCTCATTGGCCTTCCTCTTGACCTCTTGCCTGGCAGCTCCATCTCCAACATCCTTCTACCAATATAACCACTATCCCTCCTCTGCACATGTCCAAACCATCTCA